CAGTAACAATACTGTGGGTAGGGTTGTGCTTCATTGCGTGGTCCAGGGAAGGTCGTGGCAACTCGACATTTAAATGATAGGTATGATTCACCTGCAGGTGACTCAGATAGTCGTGACGTCATCGCCATCATCTTCGTGTGCGGACAAGGCCGGGATCCACATCGAACAGACGGCACGAGAATCATATTCATAAATTCATGCAAACACTAGCATCTCGAACAGGAAACAAGTGCAGGAAATCCGAGTCAGTCTCTGAAGACTCTCTAGCACCTCTTCCTTCTGCCTCTACACCTCTTCCTCCTGCCTCTACATAACCCTAGCACCTCTCCCTTCTGCCTCTACATAACCCTAGCACCTCTTCCTTCTGCCTCCACATAACCCTAGCACCTCTTCCTTCTGCCTCTACATAACCCTAGCACCTCTTCCTTCTGCCTTTACACCTCTTCCTCCTGCCTCTACATAACCCTAGCACCTCTTCCTTCTGCCTCTTCATAACCCTAGCACCTCTTCCTTCTGCCTCTACATAATCCTAGCACCTCTTCCTTCTATCTCTATATATCCCAAGCACCCCTTCCTTCTGTCTCTATACCTCTTCCTTCTGTCTCTATATATCCCAAGCAACCCTTCCTTCTGTCTCTATATACCCCAAGCACCCCTTCCGTCTGTCTCTATATAACCCCAAGCACCCCTTCCGTCTGTCTCTATATACCCCAAACTCCCCTTCCGTCTGTCTCTATATACCCCAAGCACCCCTTCCGTCTGTCTCTATATACCCCAAGCACCCCTTCCGTCTGTCTCTATATACCCCAAGCACCCCTTCCGTCTGTCTCTATATACCCCAAGCTCCCCTTCCTTCTGTCTCTATATACCCCAAGCACCCCTTCCGTCTGTCTCTATATACCCCAAGCACCCCTTCCGTCTGTCTCTATATACCCCAAGCACCCCTTCCGTCTGTCTCTATATACCCCAAGCTCCCCTTCCGTCTGTCTCTATATACCCCAAGCACCCCTTCCGTCTGTCTCTATATACCCCAAGCACCCCTTCCGTCTGTCTCTATATACCCCAAGCACCCCTTCCGTCTGTCTCTATATACCCCAAGCTCCCCTTCCTTCTGTCTCTATATACCCCAAGCACCCCTTCCTTCTGTCTCTATATACCCCAAGCTCCCCTTCCTTCTGTCTCTATATACCCCAAGCACCCCTTCCTTCTGTCTCTACGGAAGCCCTAGGTGGAGATAGGGCGAGTGTGATTATTGTCCCCCCTAATGACCATCAGCCCAAGCAGCTCCATCCACGGTGAGCCGGGCCGGATGGCGTTGTCAGTACACACCTGACTGTGAGAGGCTTGGACTGCTACAATCAAATGTGACTTAACTGGGGCTTGCAATGCACTAGCAGATGGATCGAGACAAGCGCCACTAATCTCATACGAAGGGGCATCAACAAACGAAATCTCTTGTCGGCGCAATAATTAAAAAGTCCTCCACTGGCGACCTAGCTACTCCCAGTCTCGGGTTTCTGTTCTTGTACATCACACGCTCATTTATTGGAACAGACGAACACTGTTCTCATACATTAAACGCACATATAAGAATAAACGCATATTGGTTTTATACATCACATGCATCATATGCGCATATCATTCTTATACATTAAACGCACGTGTCAGGCAGCCATACAATGTATGTCAATAGAGGTCTCGCACACCCGTACCAATAATGATAATAATAATAATATTGTCCATAGATGTCTGGAATACCCGCACTAATATCCATTAAGATCTGAAATACCCGACTATCTCATTTATATCCATACAGATCTCGACTATCTCACCTAAATCCATGAAGATCTCGACTATCCACACCTATATCCATAGAGATCTCGACTATCTCACCTATATCCATACAGATCTCGACTATTCACACCTATATCCATTTAGATCTCGACTATCCACGCCTATTTAAGTAGAGATCTCGACTATCTCACCTATATCCATGGAGATCCCGACTATCCACACCTATATCCATACAGATCTCGACTATCCACACCTATATCCTTACAGATCTCGACTAGCCACGCCTATTTAAGTAGAGATCTCGACTATCTCACCTATATCCATGGAGATCCCGACTATCCACACCTATATCCATACAGATCTCGACTATCCACACCTATATCCATACAGATCTCGACTATCCACGCCTATTTAAGTAGAGATCTCGACTATCTCACCTATATTCATGGAGATCCCGACTATCCACACCTATATCCATACAGATCTCGACTATCCACACCTATATCCATACAGATCTCGACTATCCACACCTATATCCATACAGATCTCGACTATCCACACCTATATCCATACAGATTTCGACTATACACACCAATATCTATACATATCTCGACTATCCACACCTATATCAGTAGAGATCTCGACTATCTCACCTATATCCATGGAGATCCCGACTATCCACACCTATATCCATACAGATCTCGACTATCCACACCTATATCCATACAGATCTCGACTATCCACACCTATATCCATACAGATCTCGACTATCCACACCTATATCCATACAGATTTCGACTATACACACCAATATCTATACATATCTCGACTATCCACACCTATATCAGTAGAGATCTCGACTATCCACACCTCTATCCATACAGATTTCGACTATATACACCTATATAAGTAGAGTTCTCGACTATCTGCCCTATATCCATAGAGATCTTGGCTATCCACAACAATGTCCATAAAGACCTCTACTACCTACACCTATAACTATAAAGAGAGGTCTCGACCGCCCACACAGGCGAACGCTGAACAGGTGAGAAAGAGGAAAAGGAGGAGATTTGCAGCTCAGTGTCACCTAATGTACCGTGTCACAACGAACTCACAATCTGAATTATTGGGATGTATTTCCAATCCTCTAATTGGAAACGAAACGAAACGAAATCACTTGTCTACCTGACAAACGTTAAAATGTTAAATCAATGTACAAGCTACCCGACATGTCTTCACAAGGCATAGAGATACCGCTGTGTTGATGTTTACCTGGCAGGGTGAAATGCCGTGTGTTCGCATGTGTACAAAAACTCTGAGCTGTTCGCATGTGTACAAAAACTCTGAGGTGTTCGCAAGTGTACAAAAACACTTAGGTGTTCGCATGTGCACAAAAATACCGTGGTATTCGCATGTGTACAAAAAAAACTGTGATGTTCGCATGTGTAAAGAAATGCCACGGTGTTCGCATGTGCAGAAAAAGTGTCGTCGTGTTTACTTGTATGCAAAAACACAGTGGTGTTCGCATGTGTCAATAAACACTAGTGACGAGTATATGAGATCACTTTAATCGTACAGAATTGCCGGTGTTCTGCCCAGGGCGAACATGACTTAGTCATCATACACGTCACAGACACAGACAAGGGTTTCACGTCACAAACTCAAACAACGCTCAAACATGACGCACACTCAGACAACGTTCAAACATGCCACACACTCAGACAACGCTCAAACATGCCACACACTCAGACAACGCTCAAACATGCCACACACTCAAACAACGCTAAAACATGCCGCACACTCAGACAACGCTCAAACATGCCACACACTCAAACAACGCTAAAACATGCCGCACACTCAAACAACGCTCAAACATGCCACACACTCAAACAACGCTCAAACATGTCACACACTCAAACAACGCTCAAACATGCCACACACTCAGACAACGCTCAAACATGCCACACACTCAAACAACGCTCAAACATGTCACACACTCAAACAACGCCCAAACATGCCACACACTCAGACAACGCCCAAACATGCCACACACTCAAACAACGCTCAAACATGCCGCACACTCAGACAACGCTCAAACATGACGCACCCTCAGACAACGTTCAAACATGCCACACACTCAGACAACGCTCAAACATGCCACACACTCAAACAACGCTCAAACATGCCGCACACTCAGACAACGCTCAAACATGACGCACACTCAGACAACGCTCAAACATGCCACACACTCAAACAACGCTCAAACATGCCGCACATTTAGACAACGCTCAAACATGCTGCACACTCAGACAGTTCTTACTCATCACGAAAACGTATAAAGTGTACACAAGATATTGGAAACACAAGATGGAAAGGAAGGAAGTTATTTCATATTTCATTTAAAGCCCGGCAAAACATGTTTTTATTCCCACAAATGTTTTTTATCTATCAACAAAACCTCCAATCCACTCCAGCCGGTACACTACCCCGTCGCCAACAGCACGGTTGAAAACGCAACCCAACATTCAGTCGGAAAGCAGCTCCACGTTACAAACAAGCGGTGAGCGTGTCGGCATTGTTCTAGCCGTGAAATGTGATATACATCTATATATACTTCTACCATTGTATATATGCATGATCAGTCAGAGCGTGAAGTCAAACAGTCATACATGTGTTAATATAAGGTGACACCTGTCACTAACATAAACATTACTATTTTTAATCAAGTATAACCACATATGCCGTATGTTTGTAAAGTATCGAACAGTGTATATAAAGAATTATCAATCACCACCACTTTCACCAGCAGGATGAATTTCACGGCTAAATTGGTCAACATGCGACCGCCATTGCTAAATCAGTATATATGGTTTCTCAAAGACGATTCTGTCCCTGTTGGTAACAGACATCGTGACTACCTTGGCTGAACATTGAATAAACTGGGCAAACATATTCCAGACTTATTCTACATAATAGTGTCGAATATGATGCTAAATATACATTGGGGATTATGACGAGGGAAGATGATCTCGACATAACAGCAGGGTGCCTTAGATTGCGGCCCATGATTACAGGACATGTTTCCCCAAGAAGAACGGTATTAATTCTTGATTATAAATCAATATTCATCTCGGTGAAGGAAGCTTGTTACGATCAGCTCGCGCCAAGTGCTGTTGTGAGGGGTAATAATGGTATGTAAGACTTACCGTCCAGATCTACAGCAAGCACTGCACACTCGCACAGGAACACCAGAACAATCCCCAGCAGAAACCTGAAGCGTGGTGGACGCATGGCGGACGAGGAGAAGAAGGCAATATATTCTCTAAAATAACATAACACGGGATGAATTCTCCTCTGTGATTATAACTATCCAAATACAGTCACAAACAGACACCAAATCTTCTTTAACAGCTTTGAGCGACAGAGATTCGCGCCATATCACGACTGGTGAAAACGCAGACGACACAAGTTCCAAGCAGACGATACAAGCAACAGACGTCAATTTCAGTAGTACGGCATCCCGCCGCTAGGTGGCGATCTCATCGCTTCAGACTGGTGTCCAGGAGTTCCGATACTGAAGAAAATCGATCGATTCCGAACGTTGCCGACAGCCTAGCCAATAGATGCTTCCACGTCGGTCGGAATGACAGTCGAACTAACATTCCGCAACTGCATGCATTGCACGGGTGGATTTTTTAACAACTCTGGAATAGCTTTGTAGGGAACACTTTGTTAGTATAGCTTCATATCCGATTTATTTACTTCTTGTGACGGAGCCGTGTAGGTATTGGGATCGATACGGTACACTACACTGTGTCAGCAGAGGGGATGGGTATTGATAGCCTCACTGAGACTATACAACTAAGATGCTATCAAGGATCACAGCGTCCACCTCCGGCAGATTCCTGGAATAAAGGACAAAGGTCAATAGTCAAAGGTCTGTATGACGGAAGCATCGATAATACTTGCACGGAATGAAGAATACTGGCCACCATAATGGAATCGAATATTGAGGACGCTAGCAGAGCACATAACATGGCAACTAAACAGTAGTTGCCGTTATTGGAACAGCCGCAAACATGCAAACATGACCTTGGAAATCCTGATATATGAGCATCACCTGAGTACGGAAACATATCTCGTTATCTGAGCATCGGCGGACCACTTAAACGAAAACTGAATAGTTCCCGTTATCAGAAGAAAGGCTGAACACACGGACGTGACCGTAACAGGAGATATTATATGGACATCAGTTGAGAACGCAAACGGATCTGAAAGAAATTCGGTTATCAGCGCATACACACGGAACGTAAAGAGATTTCGGTATTGCAGCGTAAGCAAAATACACAAACACAACCTAAACAGTTCTTGGTTTTGTAGTATAGCCTGAACACACAAACACAACCTTAACTGTTCTTGGTATTGCAGCATGTGCGGAGCACACAAACACAACCTAAACAGTTCTTGGTATTGTAGTATTGTGGCAAGGGCGTTACACACAAACACAACCTGGACATTTCTTGGTAATGTAGCATAAGCGGAGCACACAAACACAGCCTAAACATTTCTTGGTAATGTAGCATGAGCGGAGCAGACAAACACAACCTAAACAGTTCTTGGTTTTGTAGCATGAGCGGAGCACACAAAAACAACCTAAACATTTCTTGGTAATGTAGCATGAGCGGAGCACACAAACACAATCTAAACAGTTCTTGGTTTTGTAGCATGAGCGGAGCACACAAAAACAACCTAAACATTTCTTGGTAATGTAGCATGAGCGGAGCACACAAACACAATCTAAACAGTTCTTGGTTTTGTAGCATGAGCGGAGCACACAAAAACAACCTAAACATTTCTTGGTTATGTAGCATGAGCGGAGCACACAAACACAACCTAAACAGTTCTTGGTTTTGTAGCATGAGCGGAGCACAAAAAAACAACCTAAACATTTCTTGGTAATGTAGCATGAGCGGAGCACACAAACACAATCTAAACATTTCTTGGTAATGTAGCATGAGCGGAGCACACAAACACAACCTAAACAGTTCTTGGTTTTGTAGCATGAGCGGTGCACACAAAAACAACCTAAACATTTCTTGGTAATGTAGCATGAGCGGAGCACACAAACACAATCTAAACAGTTCTTGGTTTTGTAGCATGAGCGGAGCACACAAACACAACCTAAACATTTCTTGGTATTGTAGCATGAGCGGAGAACACAAACACAATCTAAACATTTCTTGGTAATGTAGCATGAGCGGAGCAGACAAACACAACCTAAACAGTTTTTGGTATTGTAGCATGAGCGGTGCACACAAACACAATCTAAACAGTTCTTGGTTTTGTAGCATGAGCGGTGCACACAAAAACAACCTAAACATTTCTTGGTAATGTAGCATGAGCGGAGCACACAAACACAATCTAAACAGTTCTTGGTTTTGTAGCATGAGCGGTGCACACAAAACACAATCTAAACATTTCTTGGTAATGTAGCATGAGCGGAGCACACAAACACAACCTAAACAGTTCTTGGTTTTGTAGCATGAGCGGAGCACACAAACACAATCTAAACATTTCTTGGTAATATAGCATGAGAGGAGAACACAAACACAACCTAAACAGTTCTTGGTATTGTAGCATGAGCGGTGCACACAAACACAATCTAAACAGTTCTTGGTTTTGTAGCATGAGCGGTGCACACAAACACAATCTAAACATTTCTTGGTAATGTAGCATGAGCGGAGAACACAAACACAATCTAAACAGTTCTTGGTATTGTAGCATGATCGGTGCACACAAACAAAACCTAAACATTTTCTTGGTATTGCAGGAGGAGCGGTGCACACAAACACAACCTAAACCGTTCTTGGTAATGTAGCATGAGCGGAGCACACAAACACAACATAAACAGTTCTTGGTAATGTAGCATGAGCGGTGCACACAAACACAACCCAAACAGTTCTTGGTTTTGTAGCATGAGAGGTGCATACAAACACAATCTAAACATTTCTTGGTAATGTAGCATGAGCGGAGAACACAAACACAATCTAAACAGTTCTTGGTATTGTAGCATGATCGGTGCACACAAACAAAACCTAAACATTTTCTTGGTATTGCAGGAGGAGCGGAGAACACAAACACAACCTAAACAGTCCTTGGTAATGTAGCATGAGCGGTGCACACAAACACAACCCAAACCGTTCTTGGTAATGTAGCATGAGCGGAGCACACAAACACAACATAAACAGTTCTTGGTAATGTAGCATAAGCGGTGCACACAAACACAATCTAAACAGTTCTTGGTATTTCAGGAGGAGCGGAGAACACCAACACAACCTAAACAGTTCTTGGTAATGTAGCATGAGCGGAGCACACAAACACAACCTAAACAGTTCTTGGTTTTGTAGCATGAGCGGAGCACACAAACACAACCTAAACAGTTCTTGGTAATGTAGCATGAGCGGAGCACGTTGTAGTTTTGGAGAACTGTGGTATCAGGTGTAGCTACAACTGTACCGTACATATGTACACCTGTGTGGCTGCACCAGGTACTGTTACGTACTTCTATGAACGAATAGATAGTCTGTATTGTCTCAAGCAGTATCGGAGAATACAAACATAGAAATTAATCAATCAGTATTTACATGCACGATAGCAATGTTTGTGATTACAGATAATATCTGCAGATAGAGAATAGACGTCAGCTGCCATAACATATTTCTTTGCTGACTATGCTTATGAATTGAGCTCATGTGTCTAATGTCAACTCCTCTATGAGATGCGAAAGGTCAACAAGTTGTGTCACAACTCTGATGTTGTTGTCTGTACAATCTTCTATTTTCTATTGTCACTTTAAAATTTAGCTTTAACTGGGTAGCTAGTGACAATGGCTTACATATATACAACTGGGTAGCTACAACCGTGACAATGGCTTACATATATACAACTGGGTAGCTACAACCGTGACAATGGCTTACATATATACAACTGGGTAGCTACAACCGTGACAATGGCTTACATATATACAACTGGGTAGCTACAACCGTGACAATGGCTTACATATATACAACTGGGTAGCTACAACCGTGACAATGGCTTACATATATACAACTGAGTAGCTACAACTGTGACAATGGCTTACATATATACAACTGGGTAGCTACAACTGTGACTATGGCTTACATATATACAACTGGGTAGCTACAACCGTGACAATGGCTTACATATATACAACTGGGTAGCTAAAACTGTGACTATGGCTTACATATATACAACTGGGTAGCTACAACTGTGACAATGGCTTACATATATACAACTGGGTAGCTACAACAGTGACAATGGCTTACATATATACAACTGGGTAGCTACAACCGTGACAATGGCTTACATATATACAACTGGGTAGCTTCAACCGTGACAATGGCTTACATATATACAACTGGGTAGCTACAACCGTGACAATGGCTTACATATATACAACTGGGTAGCTACAACCGTGACAATGGCTTACATATATACAACTGGGTAGCTACAACCGTGACAATGGCTTACATATATACAACTGGGTAGCTACAACTGTGACTATGGCTTACATATATACAACTGGGTAGCTACAACCGTGACAATGGCTTACATATATACAACTGGGTAACTACAACTGTGACAATGGCTTACATATATACAACTGGGTAGCTACAACCGTGACAATGGCTTACATATATACAACTGGGTAGCTACAACAGTGACAATGGCTTACATATATACAACTGGGTAGCTACAACAGTGACAATGGCTTACATATATACAACTGGTAGCTACAACTGTGACTATGGCTTACATATATACAACTGGGTAGCTACAACAGTGACAATGGCTTACATATATACAACTGGGTAGCTACAACCGTGACAATGGCTTACATATATACAACTGGGTAGCTACAACAGTGACAATGGCTTACATATATACAACTGGGTAGCTACAACCGTGACAATGGCTTACATATATACAACTGGGTAGCTACAACCGTGACAATGACTTACATATATACAACTGAGTAGCTACAACCGTGACAATGACTTACATATATACAACTGAGTAGCTACAACCGTGACAATGACTTACATATATACAACTGAGTAGCTACAACTGTGACTATGGCTTACATATATACAACTGGGTAGCTACAACACCGACTTTAATATGACTATTTCTAATTATGTGTAGGGAGACACTCTGAGATCATGCTGTTGTTCGTAAAAATATTGCAAAGTTCAATAATTTCTGTGACGTTACTTCCGTCCTCTGTGTCGTCACTTCCTTTCTTTTGCACAACAGTTTTAAATGAGTAAAAGACTACAGTCCAAAACAAGATATAGACTACGTGTATACAACACAATACAGATTACTGAAATCCTGTAAGTCCTGCACCCTACCAGTCTTACATTCTTCAAGTCCTAAATCCTACAAGACATACGTCCCACAAGTCCTAAATCCTTTAAGTTCAGCATCCTACCAGTCCTGCATCCTTCAAAATCTACATCCTGCAAGTCCTATATCCTAACATTCCTGCATCGTTCAAGCCCTTCATCTTGCAAGTCCTGCATCCTTCAACTCCTGCATCCTGCAAGTCCTGCATCCTTCAACTCCTGCATCCTGCAAGTCCTGCATCCTTCAACTCCTGCATCCTGCAAGTCCTGCATCCTGCAAGTCCTGCATCCTTCAAGGCCAACATCTTGCAAGTCCTGCATCCTTCAACTCCTGCATCCTGCAAGTCCTGCATCCTTCAACTCCTGCATCCTGCAAGTCCTGCATCCTT